CTCTTGAATAGAACGAATTAGAAACATCAGTTTTGTGCATATCGAAAGAGTGTTTAATTTTTACATCCAAACAATAATCGAACTAGCATAATTTTTTTGTTATACAAAGCTTCTAATCAATACTATTATTCTCTGATTATCCTCTACTCTGGTTCGAATATCCAAGGTTTTTATTCGAGTGGACTGAATAGAACAACCTTAGACTTTTAATAAAAAAAAGCTCACATTTTCTATGCCCAATACCAACAATCTTAAACTACTAACAGTACAAAATGATGAATTGAGTTGACATTTTTTATTGAAAAAATCCATTATGTCAGGGAATTTCTATATGTTTTCTTACCTTTATAAAATTTAAAACAATCGAAACATGTATTTATAAATTAAAAACTAGGTTGGCTACGCACATTAAAATATGCCGAATTGATCGGTGATGACCGTGTTAAATCAATGAAAGCAAAACATAAAAGTCAAGCCGAAATTCTTTATCAACTTGGTTATGGTTTTAGACGTTTATATAAAAATGTTCCTGGTGGCATTTATGAATGTAATAATAAATGTTCTTGCAATAAACAAACATGTTCAAATCGAGTTGTTCAAAATGGTATTATAGCACAACTTCAAGTAATAATTTTTATTAATAAAATTTTTATTTTTTTTCCTTCTTTTTATTTTATAGTTATTTAAAACTGTTGGTCGTGGTTGGGGTGTACGAACTTTACATGATCTTCCACTAGGAACATTTATTAGTGTTTATTCAGGTGAAATATTTACTAGTGAACAAGCTGATGCAAGAGGCAAAGTAATTGGTGATGAATATCAAGCAGATTTAGATTTTTTTGAAGTAAAGATATAATAGGGAAAAAAAACTTAATTGATTTATTTTTATTCAAAACTTTTTTTTTTTTTTTTTGAAGAATATTAATAATGATTCAGATGATGAAGAAGATGAAGATGAAAATAGTGATATTCATTCAGAATTAGATAATGATGAAGATGAAGAAAATAAAATGCCTTCATCAAATACTGAATCAAGTAAATATTTATCAAAAAGTTTCTTTTTTTTTTTCTAAATTTTGTTATATACATGTTTAGGAACTTTACGTTCACGCGATTTAAATAATAAAAATCGAAAAAAATCATCGAAATCAAAACTTGATAAGAAAGATAACAATTCTACATTAAATCGAACATTATTACCCGATTATGATGGTGTTGTTTATACACTTGATGCAAAATTAGTCGGTAATATAGGACGATATTTTAATCATTCATGTTCACCAAATATTGCTGTACAAAATGTTTTTGTTGATGTAAGATAATTACTTTCTTTTTTCAAATTATTTTCAATATATTTTCTAGACTCATGATATACATTTTCCATGGATTGGATTTTTTACTACAAAAACAATTCGAACAGGAACGGAATTATGGTATAAGACAAAACATAAAGAAATAAAAGACTCTGTCGAATTTGATGACTTATGATAAATCGAATTATCATATATGTCACTTTATAGAGCAATTTATGGCGCATCGAATGAAATATAAGAAATCGAATCTTAGGAAAATTTTGATGTGCTGAGGATTCATATATACTTATCGTAATCTTTGAAGGAATATATATATATATATATGATATTTCACAGACATTGTGATTCCCAAGATAAAAGTATGCAAATTTTGTTTTTAAACTTAATTCGATTCAGTCATAGATATTCTTCAATTTTCTTTAATCAATAGTTTTCATCGTTGCTTTTTTCATACGTAAAAATGATTAATGGTTGACAATACGGTATTTCATTGTCGTATGTCATAGAACAAGTGAGTAACGATGTGAAACTTTCTCAAAAATTGCCTAAGCTCTATATGTTTCACAGATAAGATCTTTCGAACAAGCAGGAACTTGTTGCCAACTTGTATGATTGCCCTCTAGAATAAGCTATTTTCCTAGATGAAGAGGTCGACGTATTGAGAATATTTTAACAATACTCGATGATCCTATTAAGAATTTTAATGTATCGAGGAATATCACACCATTCCTGATGAACTGATGTAAATAACTTTTTTACAAATAGGAAAAAAAATTTTGATGCTCGTACCCTGGAGAAGGGTACGGGGATACGGTTGCAGGAAGAAAGTCTGTTATTTTCATTATTTCTATTTCAATTTTTAATTCCGAGTATCCAGGTTTGACTTATTCATGAAACTTGATAAAAATCTATAAGTATCTTATGTTCATTTCAAAAACAAATTTTTGCATAATCTCATCCAGGGATGTGGAAGACAAAATTTTTTTTTCCGTTTACAAAACGGATTATTTATATAAGTTCATCAAAGATGCTGTGCTCATTATTGGTGCATAAAAATTTGATAGCATCGTTGGATATTGTTAAAAATATCGTGAATATACAAGCTCTTTCATATAGGAAATTAGGCTATTCTAGGGAACAATCATACAAGTTCACAATAAGTCCTTACTATTTCAAAAAATCTTATCTTTGAAACATGTAGAGTTTATACAATTTTTGAGACAGGTTCACATTGGTATTCACTTGTTCTTTGGCACAGGATTGAACATACTAGAATGTTATATTGTCAACAAATAGCCATTTTTAACTATGAGGAAAACAACAATGAAAACTATCGATTATAGAAAATTGAAGATAACCTATAAGTGAATCAAATTAAGTTTAAAAACAAAATTACACATAAGTTTATCTTCGTGACCACAATGCTTATCAGATACCATATATACATATATATATATATTCCTTCAAGGTATACGACAAGTATATGAATCTTCAACACATCAAAATTTTGGTGAAACCCGATTTCATATATTTCATTCGATGCATCACAAGTAGCTATCCTGATTCATGATAGGTCACTAAATCCAGCGGAGTCCTTTTTATTGTTTTTTCTTTTTGTTTTAGTTGGGATTATAATTATACAGTAGGTGAAATAGCTGGCCGTCGAATGGATTGTAATTGTGGTTCATCTGAATGCCGTCGTCGAGTTCTCTAGTCATTGATTATAATCAAAGCAATAGATTTTCTTAATCAGATGTTTATCTTTTCAAAAAAAATATTTCCTATACATATAATTTTGTGAATTGTAGATTCATTTGTTGTTATTATAAATTCGTTATGATATGAATTTCTTTCGCAATAGAAAAAAAAATGAATGTTATATTTGATAGAAGATTAAAAATCTTCTTAGTTTTTGTTAATAAGAAAATCAATTAGAAAGCATATGATCATATTTCGAAAATCTATGGATGATTTTATGAAATACAGAAGCAGAATTTAAAGAAATAACACTTTACTTAATTTTGAAAATAAGTGAATAGACAAAGCTAAAGTTACTAAAAATAACTTATACAAGTGATACTCATGCAAGAATATTATTATTATCGATCTATAGTAAAGTGATGACTTCCTTTACATCTTCAACGTCAATATTTTATCCAATGAGAGGTCTGAAAGGATGGTGCTTCACTAGTAAAGGAAACCTGAATAAAGACATTGCTCCATATTTTCATATTAATACTTTCTATGTTAATTCTCATACATATTCGTTTTATTCTATGTGCATATCCGTGGTAGATTCAAATTAAGTACTTCTAAGATTATTGATGAAACAGTTGTTGATTGAAATAAAAATCTTTCACATACATTTATTTAATACAAAGAAAATAATCATGCAATTGATGTTTGTACAAACAAGAGAAAAAAAGAAATTGCGTTGTCTGATTGGCAAGTCAACGACTGTTGATTAAAGTTAAAAACAGTAAAAAAAGAAACTAAGGAAAAGAAAAGTCTTTGTTTTTATTCCATCTATTTTGCAATAGAACTTTTCGGTTTTCAATTCTTTTTCGTAATCTACAACTATCACCATGAACGAAAAGTATATTCAATTTCGTTGTAAACATTTCAATAACTTACAGTATATATATATCTCAATTGTATACAAATGACCTTAGCAAAGTAGGTCAATTACGAGCTTCCTATTTAGAACAAAAATCCTCAAAACTAATTTCACTAAAGAGTTTTGATACTTCTCTATTCGATTTTAACTAGTGAAATTCAAATAATACAAAAACATTATTAATTACTAAAAAAGAATATTCGATTTTCACGATCTAATTCAAATTCAAATTTCGATTCATCAATAATCAACACACCGTCTATATTCTCAACAGAGATATGTATCGATCTACCGGTCGGTATGAAATCTATATGAACACTGAACTCACAAGTTGTTGTACTAGTCAATCTGTGAATAGTGGTATTTAATATAGTTAAATTTCAAAACAAAGTTTCATTACACATTCTCTAGGAGACAATAAAAAAAAACAAAATAAATAAGACACATCGACAATAACCAGCCTGTAATTCGTACCAGTTTCATATGTAGTTCTCAAGAATTCTATGAATATATTATATCACGATTGATTTGTCTTATTTGCACTGGTGTCTCTTATACAATCAATAAGTGTAAACATACTATGTCATTTTCTTTTTTTCGTTCTTTCTTTTTTTCAATAATGGAATAAAGTAATGCTACATACAACAACAACAGTTCATCTGTACACATAGAAACCGATTGTTGTGAAGTTAGGAGGTGGTGAGAGATCGTTTGTTATTTTGTTCTTTTTTTTTTCTTTTACCTTGTTCTCGTGCATTTATTTCTATCGATAGAGAAATGGGTAGAAACTGTTAACGGAGAGAATAGCGTGTCTATATATATATTGCATTAAATATATAAAGTGAAAAAAAAAATTTTTTTTTTTTTACATTTCGCTGGTTGTCGTCGTAACTTACTTTCTCACTGAATACATTCTTTCAGTTTCTTTTTTTTTCTCTCTTCTTCAGCATCGTCTTGTCGTCGAGTAAGAAGAAAACATTTAAAGGTTTCAATTAGTATTCTTTGTCAGTACTAAAATTTATACACTAATACCAACGGCTGTTTTTATTTGTTAATAACAAACAAAAACTATGGCTGAAGATCTTGAATTAAATGATCCTCGGATCTATTTTGTTGCTGATTATGTTCTTAAAACTCTTAAATTAAAATCTGATAAATTTGCTAAAATGTATGGTGTAGAAGAAAATAAAATTTTATTACATGAATTTTTTGATAAAGCGGATTCACCAATACTTATTATTCAATATACAGCAGCTGGTTCACTTCAACCAACTGTCTTATTTCCAAATGTATTAAAGAATAAATCATGTTATTTTATTAAAAAACGTCGTGAAAATATTCCAAGAGATGCTATCTTACGAGATGTTATTATGTATGGTGATTTATCAACATCACCTGTTGATCAACTTTCAGCAATGGTTGATGAAGTATGATTATTATTAGTTCTTTTGTTTTTTTTAATTATTTTCAAAACAAAAAAATATATCTTTTTCTTCATTATTTAGTTATTGATTCCTCTACTTCAAAATCCATCAAATAATGAAGCATGGCCAAAAGTACTTTCACAAGATATTCTTCGTCATGCAATGGGTATTAAAAATAAAGTACATATATTAAATGGACAAATGAAAGGTTTGTTAATTTTACATTATTTATTTTATATTTGTTCAACTTGTTCAAAGTCTATCAGTTGCTAAGCAATGAATACTACAGATGTATTATAAAAACAAAAGAAAAAGAAAACTTTTCTATTTGTTTATTATTTCTGTAACTAAGATCAATGAATACAATTCGTTTCTTAGTAACAAAGAGACAACTTCAACAATATTCTAAATTATGCTAATGTTGATAGAATAGATAAGTCACATCAAAGAGATGAGGAAGTATGAGTAAAGTTTTCATCAACAATTCATTTTTGCCCCTCAAAAAAAATGAAGGAAGCCAATCATTGGTAAGAAGAGCATTCGTGAAACGATACAATCAACATATCTTAATGTCTTGGTACAATATCTAATAACATTCTTTTATTTTCTAAAGGAGATCAATAGTTAAATAACTGAAAAAGAAAAGAAAATTAAATATTTTTGAATTTGTCAAACTTTGCTTAAGTTGAGATTTTCATAGTTATTAGTTCTAAGCTAATTTCAATGAGTACGATTGTCTGAGAACAAACATGTTAAAGAAAAACAGCATTTGAGAACACATTCAGTGTTTTTGTTTTTTGTGTGTACTTCGAAAACATGTCTTTAGATCATTTTGTGACATGAAATATGTTTTCGGACTCACGAGGGAGCCTCTCCTGGTGTCGAATTGCTGTTCGATCAAACCGATGTTTATTTTATGAGTAACAGAAAAGTCTAGAATGGCTTGTTTTTTCGAATATTCGTTTTTAAAATATCGAAATTTTACTGTACTTTTTAACAGAAAGTCGTCGTTATATGAAAAATTGACTTAAAAATTTTCTACGAGCAAAGTCTTCAACGAGATTAGTCCACTGAGAAAGTTATAGATTTTCTAGTGCATCCTTTCGTGAGATATTGAATATTTGAAATTCTCTCACGTGTAATTTTATTTCATTTTCAATACCTTCAAAATCTTATGCGAAGTTTTCTAGAAAATCCACGAATGCTTTGATAGTGACGATCGATTAAAAAACACTGCATTTCAGTAAAACAAACACTATCGATAAGAAATTTGTTCAAATGCAAAAACAAATGTTGAGAAAAACTTGCGAATATTTTTTTTTGTATATTTGCCTAAAGAACTTTTAGACATGAGCATCAAATATGTTTATATTTGGTATCAATTAAATATTCATCAACAGTCTTATCGAGTATTTTTCTAGCTACACGTAGGAACTATAACTGCCATATCGTATTGACCTCTTTGTTGTAAAGATTTAGACACTCATCATGATTTCTAAAGGGATATCTTAAGAAGCATGTGTATATATTTATCTCAAAAGATTTATTTTTTTTTTGATGGAGATCTGAAATCAAATAAATAAAAACTAGCAAAACTATTCTATAAACTGTAAAAAAAAACTAAACTTTTTCTTGAATTGAATGTATTTTAATTTTTAGGAAAAACACTTTTACCGGTTCCTGCTGGCGCTGAACGTGCTGCAGATGATACTGCAAATGGACAACAAGAAAATGGTCATGCTGCTACAGTTGATAGTAATTTATTACATGCCATTGAATCTGTTGTTATTGAATGGTCACATCAAGTTCAAGATGTATTAAAAAAAGATTCATCACAAGCATTACTTGATGGTGGTAGTCCACTTCCAGGTGTTGAAGTCGAATTTTGGCGATCAAGATTTAATAATTTATTAAATATTCATGAACAAGTAAATATTAAATCTTTTTCTAATGTAAAATTTAATAAAGAAAGTCGCTTCCTCTTTTTTTTTTCTATTCGTAGTTAAATGATGCACGAGTAAAAAAAATGGCTGAACTATTACGAAAAACAAATTCAAGTTATTATCCAGCATTTGAATCATTATTAAATGATGTTAGTGATGCATTAGATGAAGCTAAAGAAATTGATATTTTTCTTAAACCAGTTGCACAACATTTTGATGGAGTTGAAACAACAGATTTTGGTGAAACTGAATCACTTTATGGACCTATGTTTCATACACTTTGTCTTATGTGGGCTAATTGTAAAGCATATCGACGACCAGCACGTATTATTGTTTTACTACAAGAATTAAATAATCTTATTATGAAACAAGTATGAAATAGTATGAAAATAAATAATTGTTCATTGTTTTTTTTGTTTGTTTTAATTTTAGGCTTCAGAATTTATGGAACCACTTGATTTATTTAAAGGTGAACCCGATGAATCGATGGAAAAAATCAATCAAACTGTTCGATCACTTGAAGCATATCAATCAGCATATTTACAATATAAATCTAATTTAAAAAATTATTTTAAAAATGGTGAAATAGTTAAAGAATTTGATTTTGCACCAAAATTAGTTTTTGCTAAATGGGATAAATTTATGGAACGTGTACGAATTATTCAAGATTTATTTCAAACAGCTGCTGAATTTCTTCGCTTAGAAAAAGTTGAAATTGGAGGTACGAAAAAAAATGCTCTTATAACTGAATGAGAAGTTTTAAACGGTACAAATCCTTCTTCAGAATGTCTAGATCATAGTATTTGGATTCGAATGTGAAATTTTTATCATAGATACGGTTCATGCCGTTGAATCTATCCTAAAATTTTCGGATTTTGTTCTCGTATGGTTTGATTAGTATTCACTAATTTCTTTTTAATTAATAATCAGGCGAAAAAAAAAACCATTTTTACATGTATGTGTATGCTAATAGAATTTATTCAGAAAAATAACTCTTATAACGAATCAAAGATGGATATGTTCCTATTTCAAGAGAGAAGTAAACAAAAAAAAGAATTTATACTTTCATAATAAATCACCCTCATTAAGACCTGTCTCGATACAAGATTTCAAGTTGAAATTCGAAAATTAATTTTTCTGCTACTACGACATTCATTTTAAAAAATATTATCAAAGTGTAGTACCTCCACAGCAATAAGCTAAGAGCATAAACTTGCTTCTGTATATTCATAACGGATTTGGATCTATGTAATGTACATAGTCTTGATTTATCAGTTGAAGAACTTCCCTCGTTAAGGAACATTGTATTTTTTTTTATTTAATATTTTCAGGTGTCAAAGGCAAAACACTTAGTTCACTTGTTCTAAATATTTTTGAACAATTTAAAGAAGAATTTGAAAAAATGAGCAATAAAAAATATGATCCATTAGATCCAGCTTGTATCGTATGTTTATTTATTTATTTTTTTAAATAGAAGAATTTATATTAATTGTTTTCTATTCATTAGGAATTTCTCGATGATATTGCACATTTTAAACATTTTCTTAAAGATATGGAACTTAAATTAGCTTCTATAATTAATCAAGCATTTGATGATTCAAATAGTCTTACTAGTCAATTTAAACTTATTTCAATACTTGGTTCAATGCTTGAAAGACCAACAATTCATGATGCATTCGTTCGAAATTATCATCGTTTAACATTTGCTGTTGAACAAGAAGTTGATGCATGTCATGAAATTTATGAAAGACAAATGGCTTATAAAAAAGAACATGGAACAATTGAATTACATCGAAATAAACCACCAATTGCAGGTTCAATAGAATGGTATGAAAGATCTTGTTAGAATGATATATTTGCAAAAACAAACAAAAAAAAATGTTCTTTCATTATAATAGGGTCGATGAAATGAAAGATCGTATCAATGAACCAGTTGATGCATTTACAAAACTTGATTATGCGTTAGTATTCCTTTTTTTCACTTAAGAATAAAAAAAATTATAAAATAATTTATTTTTTTGTTGTTGTTGTTTTTCTAGTGCTAAAGATACTGATGATGGAAAACGTGTTTTAGCAAAATATGAAGAAATTCTTCAATTACTTGATGCATTTGCTAAAAGTATATTTGATGATTGGTCGAAAAGTGTTGGTCAAGCAGCTAATTTTAATCTTAAACAAAATTTACTTACACGAAATCCAGAAACACATATTATAACAACAAATTTCGATCCACAAGTAATTAAATTTATATTTTAAAAAAAAAAAATAAATTTTTATTTCTTTTCTTTGTCAAATAGCTTATCGGTGTTTTACGTGAAGTTAAATATATGCAACAAACAAAAGCAGGTAATACTGCAAATATTCCTGAAGAAGCAACTAAAATGTATCAAGAAAATGAAAAATTTGTTAATTATGTTACTAATCTTGATTATACAACAAAATCATATAATAAAGTTCGTATGACAATACTTGATGTAGAAAAACCGCTTGTTGAAAAACAATTAGAAGAAATTGATAAAAAATTATTACGTGCTGAAAAAGAATTATCATGGTCAACAGCAGGTAAAATTCAAATTTCTTTTTCTTTATTTATTAAATATATTATACATACATAAGAAGTTATATATTAATCGTGTATATATGTATAGAATTATTCATAATTGAATCTAAAACTTATAAGGGTTTGTTGTGCATGATTGTTTTGTTCGTGTCGTGATATTTGTTTTATACCTTCATTTATAATTTCAAAAGTATAAAATTTTCAAGCCAATATTTCTGATAGAAAAAAAAAATTAACCAAATAAATTTTTTGTAATTTAGTTGGCTTTTTCCTTTGTTGCAATAGTATGAAACAGAACCCGTTTATATATTTTCGTAACCCTTCCTTCCCTTGTTTTACGCAAATGAATGATTTGCAAGATTTAAATATCTTTATTTTGGTTTTTTTTTTCAGAAATTTGGGAATATATAAAAACAACTCGTGCAGAAGTTCATGATTTAGAAAATCGTTTACATAATGCAAAAGCAAATGTTGAACAAATTCAACGTTTAATGTCAACATGGCAAGATGTACCATTATATAAACGTTCCGAAGGAAAATCCACATTACTTTATTTAGATGATAAAGAACAACGTTTAAATAATCGTTATAAAGAAGTTGATGAAACAGGAAAAAAAATTCATGGTTTATTAAAAGAAAATGGTGAATTACTTAAAGTTGAAAATTATGATAATGATGCATGGAAAAATTATGTTGATTATGTTGATCAAATGGTTTTAGAAGGATTTAGAAAAATAATTAATTGTAATTTAGTATTTTTCTTACGTGAAACTGATTCAGCTCAAAATCCAGATCCACTTTTTGAATCACAATTACAATTACAAGTAAAAAATCTTTTTATTTTTTCTTTATAAATTTATAATTCAAAGAGTGATTTCTTTTTTTTTTCTAGGCACCAAATATGTTATTCCATCCATCGATGGATGAAAATGATAAAAATACGTTTTCAGAATTAATTGAAGATTTACTTGATACAATCTATAAGCAAGGTTCATTAATACCACGTCTTGCTGCTCATATAAATCAAGCTAATTATCAAGATGCACTTGAACATATGCAAGATTTAGCTGATTTACGTACAGATTTTATTGATCGTGTTCATGCTGTTATTGCTAAAGCTAATGAATATCGAGCATTATTTAATAAATATGCTTATTTATGGGTTGATGATCGACAAGAATTTATGAGACAATTTTTACTTTATGGTCATGTTTTAACACAAGAAGAAATCGAAGCAAATGCTGAACAAGGTGTTCCACAAAATCCACCAACATTACAACAATTTAAAGAACAAGTTGATACATATGAAAGTATTTATGAAGAAGTTAGTAAATTTGAAGATACTAAAATATTAGATAAATGGTTTCGTGTTGATTCTCGACCATTCAAACAAGCTTTACTTAATATTGCTAAGAAATGGTCATTTATGTTCAAACAACATCTTATGGATGATGTTACAAACAGGTAAAAACAAAATGTTTCTTATTCTTAAGTCGTCTTTTTTTGTAATTCTTTTCAGTTTACAAGAATTAGCTGATTTTATTAAATTACACGACAAAGGTTTAAATGTTACTGTAAATGAAGGTGATTATGATTCATTAGTTGGAGTTATGTCTCATCTTGGTGCTGTACGTGAAAAACAACCAATGTTTGATGTTATGTTTGAGCCATTAAAACAAAAACTTGAATTACTTAAATCGTATGGACAAGAAATAAATGATGATGTATATGAACGTTTAAATGCTTTACCAGAAAAATGGGCTAATACAAAGAAACTTGCACTTAATGTTAAACAACAAGTTGCACCATTACAAACCAATGAAGTTGCAAATCTTCGTCGAAAAGTTGCTAATTTCGATGTACGACAATATGAATTTCGAGAGAAATTTCGTAAAGATTTACCATTTTCATATGATCAAACACATGTCTATAGAAAATTGGATCAAGGTCATATTGATATATCAACAATGGAACGTGAAATGCAAATGTTAAACGATTCAGCTGCTCTATTTGAAGTAACAGTACCAGACTTCAAACAAGTTAAACAATGTCGTAAAGAAATTAAATTACTTAAACAACTTTGGGATTACATTTGTTTGGTTCGAACTACATTTGATGATTGGAAAAAAACAAAATGGCGTGAAATTAATGCTGAAACGGTATTTTAATAGTTTTATTTTAATCTATTAATTGAGTTTTTTTTTATTGTGTATTTCATTATAGATGGACCAAGAATGTAAAAAATTTGCAAAAGATATTCGAGGTAAACTTTTTTTTGTAATATTTTCAGTTTTACTTGAGATTATCGTATGTCTGTGAAAGTGATTTTCATACTTGTGTATTAGGTTAAAAACCTACGAAAATACACGTAGAAAATATTTTTTTTAGAAAGCCTACTACGAGATTTCATTGTTAATGATCCCAACAGACAAATACTCAGGAATATGTTAGCAGATTTATCTAACGAAAAAAATCATTTTATATAAATAATATTTTAATTTTTGAACTTATGCAAGATGCTTATAATATATGATCAAATCTATCACAAAGAAAGAAACGTCGTAGATGAGGCTTGTTTCGATTCTTCAGGAGAATATATGAATTATATTGTAATTCCAACAATCTCATAAACTGTTGGTTACGAATGCTAACTATATGATGCTATGAGTACAATGTGTATTTTTAAAAAGAATGGCATTTTAGACATTTCGTCATGTTCTAAAAATATTGATATTTTTTCTATATTTGCTTAGCAAACTGATAGTAAATGACTCTAGTTGTATAGAAGAATCTTTCGTTTAGTTTTGAACTAATCAGAGAACATATCCAACTATCAGACATCCGTTGACTTCATGTGTTGGCTATAAGTAGGACTTTGTAGAACCAAGGAGACCTTAAGTGAATTCGAGCCTTTGCATTGTTCACGAGATTTCCCTCATAAATTGTACCAACATCAATATATCTCAAAAATATTTCTTCTTATAGCTTTGGATAAAGAAATGCGTGCTTGGAATGCATATTCTGGTCTTGATGATGCAGTTAAAAATATGATGACATCATTACGTGCTGTAACTGAATTACAAAATCCAGCTATTCGAGAACGTCATTGGCTTGAATTAATGAAAGCAACTGGTGTTAAATTTGAAATGACTGATTCAACAACATTTGCTGATTTACTTGCATTACGTTTACATCAATATGAAGATGAAGTTAAAAATATTGTTGATAAAGCTGTTAAAGAAATGGCTATGGAAAAAGTTTTACGTGAATTAGATAATACATGGAAAACAATGGAATTTACACTTGAACCACATACACGTACTAAATTACCATTGATTGCTGTACAAGAAGAATTAATTGAAGTCTTAGAAGAAAATCAAGTACAATTACAAAATATGTTAACATCGAAATATATTGCACATTTTCTTAAAGAAGTTACTGATTGGCAACGAAGCTTATCACAAGCTGATCAAGTTATACATATATTAATTGAAGTACAAAAAACTTGGTCACATTTAGAATCAATTTTTATTGGTTCACAAGATATTCGAAATCAATTACCAGAAGATTCAGCTAGATTTGATACAATTGATAAAGATTTTCGTCAAATAGCTAGTGAAAATCAACAAAATTTAAATGTTGTTCATTGTACAAATCGTCCAAAATTAAATGATCGTTTAGAAGATATTAAATCACGTTTATCATTGTGTGAAAAAGCACTTGCTGATTATTTAGAAACAAAACGATTAGCTTTTCCAAGGTAAATCATTTGCTTTTTTCTTTCCTCATAATAAATTACATATATCATCTTTAGATTTTATTTTGTATCACCTGCTGAACTCTTAGACATTTTATCCAATNTATTTAGAAATAATACGTTTAGCTTTTCCAAGGTTAAATATTGTTGTTGTTTTTTCTCGATTGTACTTAATAAACAAAATATTGATTTCTATTTTAATTTTTATTTAGATTTTATTTCGTTTCGGCTGCTGATTTACTTGATATATTATCAAATGGTAATGAACCTGAAAAAGTTATGCGTCATTTAACAAAATTATTTGATTCAATGTCTAAATTAAAACTAACAGAAGAACGTGGAGCTACAATTAAAGAAGCAACAGCTATGTGGGCTAAAGATGGAGAATATATGACATTTCCATCACCGTGCGATCTCAGTGGACAAGTTGAAGTTTGGCTTAATCGGTAAAAAAAATTCATAAAAAAAAAGAATCTAGAAAAATAATTATGTTTAAATTTGTAGACTTCTTGAAAAACAATGTGAAACAGTTCGATATCATTTAACTGAAGCTGTTGGTGCATACGAAGAAAAACCACGTGATCAATGGATTATGGATTATCAAGCACAAGTAGCTTTAACTGGTTCACAAATTTGGTGGACAGTTGAAGTTTGTTCAGCATTTGCTAAATTAGAAGAAGGTTATGAAAATGCTTTAAAAGATTTTTATCGTAAACAAGTAACACAATTAAATGCATTAATTGTACATTTACTAACTGATCTTACACCAGGTGATCGACAAAAAATTATGACTATTTGTACAGTATGTATTTGAAATATAAAATTTTCATAAATTTTTTATTTCAAAAAAAAAAAAAAAAAAAATAATGTTTTCATAGATTGATGTCCATGCTCGTGATGTTGTAATGAAATTAGTAGCAACTAAATGTGAAAGTGTAAATGATTTTATGTGGCAATGTCAATTAAGACATCGATGGGATGATAAAGAAAAAGATTGTTTTGCTAATATTTGTGATGCACAATTTCGTTATGCTCATGAATATCTAGGTAATCAACCGCGTTTAGTTATAACACCATTAACAGATCGATGTTATATTACATTAACACAATCATTGCATCTTATTATGGGTGGTGCACCAGCTGGACCAGGTAAAAACAAAAACTAATTAGTATTTTAGTTTATCTTGTTGTTTCTTTTTTCTGATAGCTGGAACAGGTAAAACTGAAACAACAAAAGACTTAGGTCGAGCATTAGGTATTATGGTCTATGTATTCAATTGTTCTGAACAAATGGACTATAAATCAATTGGTAATATTTACAAAGGACTATCACAAACTGGTAAATAATTAATTCTTCATATAATATAGTTTTGTTTTTGTTGAACACAATGTACACATGTGGAGTCACCATCTACAGACTGTGATAGACGTAACCATGAGAACGCCCATAGAGTCCAAAGTTTTCGGATCCGAACCGATGTCAATCCGATGGGCTCTAAACGTCACAGACCGAAACAGTTATTGTTGATTTATAATTGCTTACCGTTTATCAATAAAGTTTCGTTACTATTTCTTTATTGGATTTCTGAATGATTGAGTAAAAAGATAGTGCATAGAAGTTATATCGTGTTTTACATTATAATCCCGCAGAAATTGTACTAATAGATTTTCTTTTGTATTTTTCAAGGTGCTTGGGGATGTTTTGATGAATTTAATCGAATATCAGTTGAAGTACTTTCTGTCATTGCTGTACAAGTTAAATCAATTCAAGTATAAAATGATTTAGAATAATTTAATTATTTAAATATATGCGTATATAATTTTGTCTAGGATGCAATTCGTGAAAAGAAGACACGATTTTTATTTATGGGTGAAGAAATTCGTCTTAATCGTACAGTTGGTTTATTTATTACTATGAATCCTGGTTATGCAGGTCGAACAGAATTACCAGAAAATTTAAAAGCATTATTTCGGTAAATAGAAATTAAAATGTTTATTTATATATATGTTTTTATTTTACTATTTAAATATAATTCATATTTTTAGTCCATGCGCTATGGTCGTACCAGATTTTGATTTAATTAGTGAAATTATGATGGTCGCTGAAGGTTTTACTGATGCTCGTTTATTAGCTCGAAAATTTATAACTCTTTATTCATTATGTAAAGAACTTCTATCTAAACAAGTATGTTTTAAATTTTATTTATTAAATTAAAAATAAATATTATTTAAAGGATCATTATGATTGGGGTTTACGAGCTATTAAATCTGTACTTGTCGTAGCTGGTGCTCTTCGTCGATCAGATCCCGGTCGACCCGAAGATCAAGTATTAATGCGTGCATTACGTGATTTTAATATTCCAAAAATTGTCACCGATGATATGCCTGTATTCATGGGTTTAATTGGTGATCTATTTCCAGCTCTTGATGTACCACGTAAACGGTAATAAAATTAAAAATTAAAAAAAAATTTTGTTTTGTTTTTCTAAATAAAACTTTAATTTAGAAATCTTGATTTTGAAAAATTAATTAAACAAGCAACAGTTGATTTAAAACTTCAACCCGAAGATTCATTTATACTTAAAGTTGTTCAATTACAAGAATTATTTGAAGTACGTCATTCAGTATTTATTGTTGGTAATGCTGGTACAGGAAAATCTCAAATATGGAAAGTATTAAATCGTACATATCATAATCAAAAACGTAAACCAATTGCTGTTGATCTTAATCCTAAAGCTGTTACAAACGATGAACTTTTTGGTATTATTAATCCAGCAACACGAGAATGGAAAGATGGATTATTTTCTACCATAATGCGAGATCTTGCTAATTTGACATCTGATGGTAAGGAATAATGTAGAGAGCTGCGGATCCATGTTTTTGTAGACTGAGACTCGTGTCTAGAAGGATTCCCGTAACTTCTTAGACGTATTAACAAAATACTGAAAGAAAAAAAAAAAACTTAATGATCTTTTTTTTTTAAGGACCTAAATGGATTGTACTTGATGGTGATATTGATCCAATGTGGATTGAATCATTAAATACAGTTATGGATGATAATAAAGTGTTAACATTAGCTAGTAATGAACGTATACCATTAAATCCAACAATGCGTCTTCTTTTTGAAATTAGTCATTTACGTACAGCTACACCAGCCACAGTATCACGTGCTGGTATTTTATATATAAATCCGGCTGATCTTGGTTGGAATCCACAAGTTGCAACATGGATTGAAACACGTGAAATACAATCTGAACGTGCTAATTTAACAATACTTTTTGATAAATATGTCCCAATGTGTTTAGATGCTGTTAAAAGTCGTTTTAAAAAAATTACACCTATTGTTGAAGGTGCACATATACATATGTTATGTCGTTTACTTGAATGTATGTTAACATTAACAAATACACCAGCTGATTGTCCAAAAGAATTATATGAACTTTATTTTGTATTTGCTTGTGTTTGGGCATTTGGTTCAGCTTTATTTCAAGATCAAATAACTGATCATAGATTAGAATTTTCAAAATGGTGGATTACAGAATTTAAAACAATTAAATTTCCTGTACAAGGTACAGTTTTTGATTATTATATTGATCCAGAAACGAAAAAATTTGAACCATGGACCAAACTTGTACCTAAATTTCGATTGGATAGTGAAATGCCATTACAAGTAGGTTTTATTAAGAGATAAAAACTCATTACATTTGTGTGTGTGCGTTTTTTTAATGTAGTCAGTATTGGTACCAACAGCTGAAACAACTCGTATTCGATATTTTATGGATTTACTTTTAGAAAAAGGATGGCCAATTATGTTAGGTAAGAATACCAATTTTCTAAACTAATTCATACGAACAGTGGTATCTCGAGACAAGACATTGGTTTAGCTCGTTTTTAATTAAAATTGAAATATTTCTACTGCGTTTGATCATTGCTCAATAATAGATTCAAATAGAAATTAACTTTTCTTTTGTTTTTAGTGGGTAATGCTGGTTGTGGTAAAACTGTATTAATCAATGATAAATTAGCTTCACTTAATGAAGATTGGCTTGCTGTTTCAGTACCATTTAATTTCTATACAACAAGTGAAATGCTTCAATCAATTTTAGAAAAACCATTAGAAAAGAAAGCCGGTCGAAATTATGGTCCACCTGGTAGTAAAAAAATCGTCTATTTTATTGATGATATGAACATGCCAGAAGTATGAAAGAAAAGAGAAAAAAAAAATTATCATTTTTGTTTTTTCGTAATGATTTTATTTTTCATTTTAGGTCGATCAATATTATACATGTCAACCACATACACTTCTTCGTCAACATCTTGATTATAAACATTGGTATGATCGTCAAAAATTAACATTAAAAGAAATTCACAATTGTCAATATGTAAGTTCAATGAACCCAACAGCTGGTTCATTTACAATTGATACACGTTTACAACGACATTTTGCTGTATTTGCTGTTTCATTTCCTGGAATGGAAGCACTTGAAACAATTTATGTTGGTATTTTATCTCAACATTTAGGTCAAGGTTTTGCACAACAAGTACAAAAATATGCAACTAGTCTTGTACGTGGTGCACTTGAACTTCATCGTCGTATAACAGTATTATTTTTACCAACAGCTATTAAATTTCATTATATATTTAATCTTCGTGATTTATCCAATATATTTCAAGTTTGTTTTTAAATGAAAAAAGTCTTTTTTGTTTCTCTAAAAGAAACTTTTTTGTTTTCTTTTTATAGGCAATTCTTTTTGCTAAACCAGAAGCAATTAAAACACATAATGATTTAGTAAGAATTTATTTACATGAATCTGAACGTGTTTATTGTGATAAATTAGTTGAACGTGCTGATATTGATACATTTGTTAAATTACAACGTGAAGTTGCGAAGAAATCATTTGAAGTAAAATCAAAGAATTTTTGTTTTATTTTGTTTTGAATTCGACATTCTCGTTTCTGTTTTAAGGATCTTGATGAAGAATATGCATTTAAAAAACCAAATATCTATTGTCATTTTGCTCTTGGTGTTGGTGATCCAAAATATATGCCTATTGATAATTGGCCACATTTACAAAAATTATTAAATGATGCATTAGATGCATATAATGAATTAAATGCACAAATGAATTTAGTACTTTTTGAAGATGCTATGACACATGTTTGTCGTATTAATCGTATATTAGAAGCACCACGTGGTAATGCTTTATTAATTGGTGTCGGTGGTAGTGGAAAACAAAGTTTAGCAAGATTAGCAGCTTCAATTAGTTCATTAGAAGTTTTTCAAATAACTCTTCGAAAAGGTTTAGTTATCAATAATTTAATATTTTATCTTATGTTGTTTATTTATTTATTTTTTGTATAGGTTATAGTATTAATGATTTGAAAACAGATTTAGCTGCATTGTATATAAAAGCAGGACAAAAAGGAATAGGAACTGTTTTTCTTATGACAGATTCACAAGTAGCTGATGAAAAATTTTTAGTCCTAATTAATGATATGTTAGCATCAGGAGAAATTCCAGGTTTATTTGCTGATGATGCTATTGAAGAAATAATTGGAGCATTGAGAAATGAAGTTAAATCACAAGGTATTGATGATACAAGAGAAAATATTTGGAAATATTTCATTGAAAAAGTTCGACGTAATCTTAAAGTAATGATTTTTATATTCGATTGATTTTCAATTGAATAATTTTAATTGTTCAATTTTTTTAGGTCGTATTATGTTTCTCACCTGTGGGTACAACACTTCGAGTACGATCACGAAAATTTCCAGCTATTACAAATTGTACTTCGATCGATTGGTATCATGAATGGCCAGAAGTATGAACAAAAACTTTTTCCTATTGAATTTTGTTTTTATTTTCGTGTCTTTCATAGGAAGCTTTAATATCTGTCGCTAATCGGTTAGTTAAATATTTATGTTCGTAATCATTTTTGAAAAAAAAATCTTTTTATTTTAACTATTAGATTCGTCAGTGATGTTGATACACTCAAACCTGAACTAAAAGATTCCGTTGCGAAATTTATGGCATTTGTACATAAAAGTGTCAACGAGATGAGTATCTCTTATCTACAAGTAGATATTTTTTTAAAATTTATTCTTCTTTGATTCCAAGCTAAATATTTTTTCTATAATAGAATGATAAACGATACAATTATACAACACCAAAATCTTTTCTTGAACAAATTACATTATATAAAAATTTATTAGCGAAGAAAACTCGTGAATTACAAGAAAAAATTAATCGTTTAGAAAGTGGTCTTGTTAAATTACAATCATGTGCACGACAAGTTGATGATTTAAAAGATAAATTAGCTGCACAAGAAATTGAACTTAAACAAAAGAATGATGATGCTGATAAACTTATTAAAGTTAGTTGGATTTTCTGTTTTTGAAAAAACAAAAATCTTATTTGAAACTTTCCTTCATATATAGGTTGTTGGAACTGAAACAGAAAAAGTAAGCAAAGAAAAGGAAATTGCTGGTGTTGAACAAGCTAAAGTTGCTGAAATTGAAAAAACTGTTACAGCTAAAGCAGAAGATTGTGGACGTGATTTAGCTCGTGCAATGCCTGCTTTAAAAGCAGCTGAAGAAGCTTTAAATACATTAGATAAAACAAGTTTAACGTATGTTAAAATCTATTTAAAAAAAAAAACTTTCATATTCAAACTTTCCTTTTTTTAGTGAAATGAAAGCTTTTCCTAATCCTCCTGAAGCTGTCCTTAAAGTCGGTGCTGCTGTAATATGTTTATTACCACCAGGTGGCAAAATTCCTCGGCCAGCTCAACGTGATTGGAAAGCTTGTAAAGCAAGTATGGGTAACGTCGATCAATTTCTTCGTAAGTATTTTTTAAATAATGTTAATTTAATAATAAAATATTTTCATTTAAACAGAGGCGTTAAGAACTTACGATAAAGAACATATTCGTGATGATATGCGTCGTGAAGTTAAACCTTATGTTGATGATCCAGATTTTGATCCAGATAAAATTCGAACTAAATCAGCTGCTGCTGCTGGTCTTTCTGCTTGGGTTATCAATATACTTTTGTAAGTTACATCCATTGAAAAAACATTCAAACAAGTTCTTATTTCTATTATCTAAATAGATTTTATGAAGTTTATTGTGAAGTCGAACCGAAACGTTTAGCTTTAGAAAAAGCTAATTCTGATTTAAGAGCTGCACGAGAGAAACTTGAGGTTGTTAATCGACAAGTTGCGGTATGTATTTTATTGTAAATCAAAAAGAAAAAAAAAATTTTTTTTCGACTATTATAGCAATTAGAAGAAGCTTTAGCTAAATTAACAGCTGAATATGATGCAGCTATGTCAGCTAAACAGAAATGTCAAGAAGAAGCTGATCGTACAGCTTATACAATTAATTTAGCTAATCGTTTAGTTAATGGTCTTGCATCAGAAAATATTCGTTGGCGTGATTCAGTTGCAGGCTTTAGAAAATCCGAAGAAACAACACCAGGAGATGTTTTATTAATAACAGCATTTGTCTCTTATGTTGGTTGTTTTACAAAATTATATCGAGTTGATCTAATGGAAAATATCTGGAGACCACAATTATCTGCATTAAAAGTAAAAGATTGAAGAAAAAAAACTAAACAAATAAAAAGTTTCTATAAAAATTATTGATTTTCATTTAGACACCAATTCCAGTTACACCGGATATTGATCCATTGACATTAGTTGTTGATGATGCTGTTGTTGCTGGATGGAATAATGAAGGTTTACCATCAGATCGTATGTCAACTGAAAATGCAACAATTCTTACGACATGTGAACGATGGCCATTGATGATTGATCCACAACTACAAGGTAAATAAAAACAAGATTTTATCTTATTAAAAAAAAAAACTGTTGTTTGTTTAATTATTCAGGTATTAAATGGATTAAGCAACGTTATGGTGAACGTATTAAAGTAATTCGATTAGGTCAAAAAGGTTATTTAGATAAAATTGAACAAGCTATAGCAGCTGGTGATATTCTCTTAATTGAAAATATTGATGAATCAATTGAAGCTGTACTTGATCCATTACTTGGACGAAATACAATTAAAAAAGGTCGAGCTATTAAATTAGGTGATAAAGAAATTGAATATCATCCGGATTTTCGACTTATTTTACAAACAAAACTTGCTAATCCACATTATAAACCTGAAATGCAAGCTCAAACAACATTAATTAATTTTACAGTTACAAAAGATGGTCTTGAAGATCAATTATTAGCTGATGTTGTTGCAAAAGTAAGATTTTTTTCATTTCAACAAAAAACAAAAGAAAACACTATTGAAGCACCTACACTTTCGTTTTTGAAATTTTTCGAACGACAGAATGGATGGTCAAAAAGAGAAAACACGTCTTTCTATTCTGTTTGATAGTTGTACCGACCGCCATAACTGAAGGCCTACGTAGTTCAAAGCTTGGTACCATCAGTCATGAAATAGCCTTAGACAAGTTACTAAAAGCTGTTTATCTCAGAACATCTGGCTGATAACATACTAACAACGTTGGAACATATCCTGGCTCTTGCAGTTAGTTAGTGTGTATGAGAAGCTCAAGCAATAGAGCGGAAAGAACTCTGTGTCAGACTAGTCTCCAATTCAGAATTATAACTACTATCCATTTCAAAATATAATGTACTTTACTGTTTTTCCAATAACTTCTGATAGAAATATCAACAGAACTACGATTTTCATCATTCAAGAGAGTAGACTCGGAAAATAAATTCAACATTTCAAAAATGTATTGAAATAACACTGTCAGATTAGTTCACATCTAAAATAAAATATCATCATCCGACTCAGCATGATGAATTACCAAGGTTTAGTTAGTTTTACAGGTGATCACAGGTCATTATATTTTGACTTGAATAATAGTATTAGTTGCAGGGAAAATATCGAACTATCGAATCTACTGCAAGATAGCCGAAAGGCAGAAGTATTCTTTCTTGATAGTTGTATTAATCGATCGAAAACGCTAGTGTAACTATTGAACTATTTCTTCGAAAGTTTAAAGTTTATTTCAAAATGTTCAAAAAAAAAGAATCGACATTCTATGTTTTTTTAGGAACGTCCAGATCTTGAACGATTAAAATCTGATTTAACTAAACAACAAAATGAATTTAAAATTACTTTAAAACGTCTTGAAGATAATCTTTTAGCTCGTTTATCATCTGCTGGTGCAAATTTTCTTGGTGATACTGAATTAGTTGAAAATTTAGAAAGTACAAAACGAACTGCTACCGAAATCGAAGAAAAAGTCGGTGAAGCTAAAATAACGTCTGTTAAAATTGATGAAGCACGTGAATTATATCGTCTTGCAGCAGCACGTGCTAGTTTAGTCTATTTTATAATGAATGATCTTTGTCGTATACATCCGATGTATCAATTTTCTTTGAAAGCATTTAAAGTTGTTTTTGCTAATGCTATTGAAAAAGCTGAACCATCTGAGGATGTAAAAGCTCGTGTAAATAATTTAATTGAATCAATAACATATTCAACATTTATTTATACAACTCGTGGCTTATTTGAAAAGCATAAACTTATATATACTTCACAAATGTCATTTTTGGTAAAGAAAAAGAAAAGAAAGCTTTCTATTATTTTGTTTTTTTGTTTATATATTTAGGTTTTACTTGCTGCTAAAGAAATTGATCCAAAAGAACTTGATTTTCTACTTCGATATCCAGTTATACCTAATGTAACATCACCAGTTGATTTTCTTAATGATATATCATGGGGTGGAATAAAAGCTTTAGCACAAATGCAAGAATTTACAAATCTTGATCGTGATATTGAAGGTTCAGCTAAACGATGGAAAAAATTTGTTGAAATGGAAGCACCTGAAAAAGAAAAATTACCACAAGAATGGAAAAATAAAACTGCATTACAAAAATTATGTATGATGCGTGCACTTCGACCTGATCGAATGCTTTATGCATTAAGGTGAAACAAAATGAAAAAGAAAAAAATTTTATTTAATCATGAAAAATTTTATTTTAGTTTATTTGTTGAAGAAAAATTAGGCAAACAATTTGTTGAAAATCGTGCTGTACCATTTAATAAATCATATGAAGAAACAAATACAAGTACACCTGTCTTCTTTATTCTTTCACCTGGTGTTGATCCAATTAAGGATGTTGAAGCATTAGGAAAAAAATTAGGTTTTACATCAAATCAAAAAACTTTTCATAATATTTCACTTGGTCAAGGTAAAAATTTAAAAAAATATCTAAAATAGAAATTTCCTCATTTCAATCAATCTTTAGGCCAACAAGTTGTTGCTGAAGAAGCAATGGATATTGCTGCAAAAGAAGGTCATTGGGTTGTATTACAAAATATACATTTAGGTTTGAAAAATATTTTATTAACTAAAAGAAGAAAAATCTGTTTTTTTTATCTAGTCGCGAAGTGGTTACCACAATTAGAAAAGAAATTAGAACAATGTTGGGAAACAGGTCATGAAAACTTTCGAATGTATATGTCAGCTGAACCATCAGGTGATCCAGCATTTCATTGTATACCACAAGGTATTCTTGAGTCAGCTGTTAAGATGTAAGTTATTCATAATTAATGATTTTTTTTTTCTTTTATTATATTTATTTAATTCTTTTCTTTTTTCAATAGTACAAATGAACCTCCAACAGGAATGCAAGCTAATTTACATAAAGCACTTGATTTATTTAATCAAGATACACTTGAAATGTGTGCAAAAGAAACAGAATTTAAATCAATTTTATTTGCACTTTGTTATTTCCATGCTGTTGTTGCCGAAAGGTAATGTTATATAGATGATAAAGCAGTCGTTAAAAGTCATACTATCTATTTGAAAATATAATATGATCGTTCTACTGTGTTTTGAATAACTTTTGATAGAAATATCATAGAGACATGTAGTTTTCAACAATCAAAAGAGAAAACCCGAGATCATCAGAGTATGTTGAAGTTTGATTGGTCAGCAATTGGATTAGCCAGCTGAGTTCTTGGTGGAAACTCTCGAAAGCGATAGCCTAAAGCTATTTTTCTTTCGATATATTCCATTGATCACTTGGAAAAGCATCTAGTCAGGAACAATTCACTATGCTGAGTCAGGTGGTGATATTTGTTTTAAGATTTGAACTGATCTGACATTGTTATTTCAGTATTTCTGACATTCCACAGTCAGCCTTTATGTAACGAATCAGCATGATGAACTATACCTGCCTAGGTGCTTTTCCGGGTGATCACAGGTCAATTAGCTGGAATTTAGAGTCTCAGGAAAAATCTTAGAACTCTCGAATGAAACAAGCTATGATTGTAAATCTTGTGTAGATCGAAATTGCGATATACTTCGATAGCCTCAGGTCTTTTTTCTTAGTCAGTGAAAACTGCAAGTCTCTGTGATGTTCCTATCAAACATTATTCCACAAAACAGTGAAGCGTATTATGTTTGCAATGAATAGTAGAATCATTTTACCTGATGGTGTTACTAGAAACAGAGCTCGGTTAAACCTAATTACAAGCAGTAACTTAAATTCTAATTGATGACGTTTTCAGTATCTCGAATGATTTTCGCATAGTTTTTCGATCCATTCATAGTTATGTAACTATCAGAAAATACTTCATTAGAGAAAATATCAAACGACATGATTGAAAATAATCGAAATTATAGATTATTTTTTGACGAATTACATCAGTTTTCATACTAAGAGTCAGTAAAGATGACTTCGTGAATCGAGTAAACTTCAATCGTTTAGCATAGAATTTCCATCGATGATAAAAGTAGCATTGAGCTTTCGAATGAGATATCAAGTATTCTAAGATTTCTATCCTCTTCGCTGGCAGACCGATCAAGATTTTGATGGCCATTTCATTTAAAAGATATTAAAATTTATTTTTGATTTTTTTTAGACGAAAATTCGGTGCACAAGGTTGGAATCGAAACTATCCATTTAATAATGGTGATCTTACTATATCAGTCAATGTACTTTACAATTATTTGGAAGCTAATTCCAAAGTTCCATGTAAATTTCTGAGTGTTTCTTTTTAAATAGAATTATCAATGGTTTTATTTTTGAATTATAGGGGAAGATCTTCGATATTTATTCGGTGAAATTATGTACGGTGGTCATATTACTGATGATTGGGATCGTCGTTTGTGCAAAACATATCTTGAAGAATATATGAATCCAACAATGGTAAGAAAAGAGATTAGAACTAAAGATTTCCATCTAATACTAACATAAATATGCATCAATCCACAGAGTATTGTGTCATACGACGAGAATGGAAAATAGATATGGGCAAGATATAAAGTAGACATTTTTCCATAGACTAGGCGGACATATCTTTTTGGCTAAAAGCTGTGAAGCACTAATATCAGTGTCACGAGTGAAAGGACATTCTGTGAAAAATTATGCAAGTTTACTATATTGAACATTAGTTTTTGTAAGAGCACTTGATTTTAAAGAAGAATAACTTTTCTCGGATCCTAAACAGGTGCAAGCGAAAGTTTATTTTTTTATGAATCGATATAATATTATACAATAATATTTTATGAATATTTTTATTTAGTTTGATGGTGAACTTTATCTCGCACCAAATTTTCCAATTCCACCATCAACTGATTATAAAGGTTATCATAGTTATATAGATGAATCTCTTCCACCTGAATCGCCATATCTCTATGGTTTACATCCGAATGCTGAAATTGATTTTCTAACAACAACAAGTGAAAATCTCTTTAAAACAGTATTAGAAATGCAACCACGTGATACAGGTGCCGGTGCTGGTGGTGAAGGTGCTGGAATGACACGTGAAGAAAAAATAAAAGCAAAACTAGATGAAATTATGGATAAATTACCTGATGAATTTCCTGTTCGTGAACTTTATGCTAAAGCTGAAGAAAAAACTCCATATACAGTTGTTGCTTTACAAGAATGTGAACGTATGAATATATTAACATCAGAAATGCGTCGATCATTAAAAGAACTTAATCTTGGTCTTAAAGGTGAACTAACAATAACATCTGACATGGAACAATTACAAGATGCATTATTTTTTGAACAAGTACCTGCTGCATGGACAAAACGTGCTTATCCATCAATGTTTAGTCTTGGTTTATGGTATAGTGATTTATTATTACGTATTAAAGAATTAGAATTGTGGACAAATGATTTTCAATTACCAGCTGCTGTTTGGCTTGGTGGTTTATTTAATCCTCAATCATTTTTAACAGCTATTATGCAAACAACAGCACGTAAAAATGAATGGCCATTAGATAAAATGTGTTTATCAGTTGATGTAACGAAAAAAACCCGGGAAGAATTAGGTGGTGCACCACGTGAAGGTGCATATGTTCATGGACTGTTTATGGAAGGTGCAAGATGGGATACACAAACAGGTCAATTAAGTGAAGCTAGAATAAAAGAATTAACACCAATGATGCCTGTACTTTTTGTTAAAGCTATACCTGGTAAAGATTTATTATATATGATTTTTCTTTTTTTGAAATTTACTTTTTTCTTCTTATTATTTTGTAGTCGATCGACGTGAAACGAAGAATATTTATGAATGTCCAGTTTATAAAACAAAACAACGTGGCCAAACATTTGTTTGGACATTTAATTTACGTACAAAAGAAAAACCAGCTAAATGGATCTTAGGTGGTGTGTGTCTTCTATTAGCTGTGTGATTTTTTTTCTTAGAATATTGTTTATATAATAATATATATATATCATTATATTTTTGTTAATGAATAAAGTTTTAATGATATAAAATGAAACTCTTTTTAAGTAAAGTATATTAATCTCATATTTTTTGTAATTCTAATTTATTGTATTTGTCTTATGTCCTACAAATATAAATAACTAGCGAAAGTACCCGATGTTGATCGAGATAATTTGATAGTACGTATTTGGCATAAGAGAAAACGACGTCGCTATGGTCTTCTTCTAGTGAACAGTCTTTGATGTCACAAAAAGCGCTCAGATCATGTTTGTTTTTCATTTTTTTTGTTTTTCACATTTTAAATTGTTTTAAAATATTCTTTTTCTTTTCGAGATTCTTTCTATTTTATGGGCCTCTTTTATTAAAAAGAGACTGTTCAGTAAGATACAATTTTTATTGTAAAGCTGTTTGATACACAATGTTTCTGCTTTTTCCATCAGGGGCAAAAACGAACAAATTCTTCTCAGTTCCCACTCTTAAACACGCCGCGTAAAGTTGGCCATGGGAAAAACAAGGACTCTCTAGATTAATACCAGCCACCTTTAGTGATTGTCCTTGAGCTTTATTGATGGACATCGCGAAGGCCAGACGTACTGGAAACTGAAGACGCTTGAACTCAAATGGCATATCAGTAGGAGCCATGGGTATTCGTGGTATGAATACATCCTCACCCTTTGCGCAGCCTGTCAAGATAGTTGCTTCGATAACATGAGGCATTAGGCTTTTCACACACAGCCTTGTACCATTGCATAGTCTTGGCGCATCCAGGTTCCTCAGAAGCATAATGGGAGAACCAATTTTCAGCAGCAAGTTGTGCGTCGGCATACCAGAAGGTTCGAGAGAATTGAGAACTTCAGTCGAATACTGAACGGTCTCGTTGACATCGGCAACTGTATCAACCGACTTGTAAGATGTAGTTTCTCCGGGAAGCTGTTGTTGAATCTGTAGATTGATGGCATTCACACTGTTATTTTTAGGGGCAAGGATGCCAAGTTCACATAGCCATTTGTGATCGTTGAAATGGCTCCGGATGTTCGGAAACACACTGCTCTTCAGTGCTTCAATCGATTCAACAACATTGCAAAAATTATCCGGAATGCTGATCAGTGCACTGGTTGGTTCAACTGGTACTTTTCCATTTCCGATAGTGAGCAGTTGTTGAGCGAAATGGCCAGCAGACACATCCCCTTACAAATGAACTCGCATGTTGGTTTTCAGTCCTAATTTTATAACATGTCTCCAGAGGTATGAAGCTTTCAAGCAAGCTTTAAGNGGGGTGCTATAGAAAAAAGACACTAAAAACTCGATATCTCGTCAGAAACAAGCCAGGGGGACGAACTTTGTTTACCACAGACATAGCCCACTATGGGCTACAAGATGCGCAAAACTCCGGCTGAAAAGCGCTCTGGCACCTGGGAAGGTTCCCTTGTAAGCCATATTCGATAATTCGATTCGCTTTCGGTCTCTTCACGAAGAGACTGATTGATTAATCATACGAATATGAAAATAGTTGGTAGAGAGCTATGATTTGATTGAAACATAATTGTAGTTTATTCGTTTGAACTCAATAGTGAATTAATTATATGCTCAATAAATATGGTCAAAACAAGCTATGAATGTTTCTAGGGTTTCTTTTCTTGAAACATTCGTTTTAAAATTTTAGTTTTGTCAATACTATTTATGATTGCATGTCTGGTGCTGAAATATTTGTCAATGAAAGCTTCAATTTTAATATTTCGAGGTCGAGATCAGAACTTGATGCAAGATGAGACCTCGAAGAAGACCTTGATCCTGCAGGTGTAGATTCTCGGGATCTTGAGTGTGCAGGTGTAGATTCTTGGGATCTTGATCGGACAGGCGTAGATTCTCTATATGTGAATCTGTCGTATCTTGATCGTCTCAACTTAGATTTTCTCGATTTGAATTGAACTGGTGACCAAGCTCGTGCTTTTCTAATCATAATCTGTCTTTTTTCGACTCGATCAATATGTTCTTGTATTGTCTTGATAGTATCCTTTTTCTTTGACGCCATTCCTTCATAAATTGCCAGAGCTTCATGTAATCTTTCAAGTGATACTGCATATTGTCCCATTTCGTAATGAATCATTCCAATACATACAAGTGACCAACCTATATTTGGATGATTCAATGGATAAATTGTTTTCTCCATTTCCAGTTGCCGTACTCGATATTCTAGACTATCATCGAAATCTTCTTTCATCTGATAAATATAGCTAATATATTGAAGACATTCAATTGTAATATGAATATCAAATGGTAAAATATTTAAGACAATTACTAGTACACGTTTACATAAATCTAACGCTTTATCGAATTCATGTTTTTTAAGTAGTAAACTAATCATACGTAAAGCTGTGTTAACAAAACGAGGATGATTTTCGCCCAGTAGAATTTGATAATTGGCTAATTTTTCTCGACAAAATTTTAAACCTTGATCATATTCATTCATTGTTTTATAAAGTTCAATAATACGTGTAAAATCATTAATAACATCACTATGATCCGATGGCAAGCATAATTCGTCCATTTCAAGTTCTTCATGAAGATATTTTAATGCACGATCATATTGTTTCACAGATTGATATAAATGACCAATACGACCGAGACATTCAGCTATTTGTGGATGTTGTGAAGGAAATACACGTTTAAAAATTTCTAAAGCATCTTCAAGCCAATGTAGAGCTTTTTCGAAATCATTTTTATTTTGATAAATCAAACCGATTTCTTCCATTGTCATTGCTGTGACAACGTGCTCATGCGAATAATTTCTTTCATTAATATGCATTGCTTGACGAAAATAGATGAGTGCTTGATCGAAATCGCCCATTAATCGGTATAGATTACCGATATTTCTTAATGAAGCACCGATGTGAGGATTTAAAATTGAAAGTGTTTCTTGACGAATATTATAAGCGATTTGATAATACTCTAATGCTCGATCATAATCTCCTCTCTTTATATAAACATGTCCTAATCCAGTATTTAAACTAGCAATACCAGGATGATCAGATGGAAGTGTTTTTAAAAGAACATTGAAATATTTTTCGGCATGATCAATTTGTCCTAATTCAAATAGAAGAAGACTACCGAAATAAATCATCGGACTCATGTCTTTCATTTCATTTTCAGCCACTTTTAAATATTCTTGAACACGTTCAAATCCATCATTTGTACTTGTTAATTGTATTATCCAAATATTTAAATTCGAATTGAATTCGATCGAATCAATGTAAAATGTTGTACCAATTGAAAATAATACTTCATCTTCACCTTTAAATGCTGTAATATCTTCAATATCTCCACAAATAATTGATTTCAATTTCGGATCGACTTTTATTTTAAACAGAACAGCTGTCATTTGATTCAAGCTTCTACCAGCATACATTAATGCAACTTTTTCATTACGTGATGTAGAAAAAAATCCATTGGGTGAAATGAGTGTGCCGATATTTTTTTTAAATTTATCAAATTCTTCATTCGGTATTTGTTGACCACGATAAAGATTTAAAATGTCACTAGTTTTCCGATTGTGACTTCTCTGCTCGATTTGAGCACATAAATCGATGATAAAATACCGAAATGCATAGATTAATTCGATATTTTCAGTTCGAAAAGCTCGATTCAATAGTTTGTAGAGAAATGTTTCTGTTGTATACCAATAAATTGCTTTTTCAGGAGAATACATTGAACAAAACTTTTCAATATTCTCAAGTTCATCTTTATTATGTCGATAATAATTTCTACATTGATAAAGCATATCATTTTTTGCTTGTTCATCATCGGTCATTTGTTTTAGAACATGTATTAGAAGTTGATGCCATACAAATGAAGCTTCTTCTTTTGATAAGTTTCGTGTTGATTTTTGTCGTTGATTAAATAGGTTACAACTATATGTTTGTTTTTCTAATAGATGAATTGTCTTTTCAATTGATATGATTAATTCGTATGGATCCGTAAAAATTCCTATAACTTTTGCATACTGATAATAAAAATTATTTTTCTTATCTCGATTTGGACAATAAATAAATACAGCACGCACACATCGAATTTCAAATAATCGATCGAGTAGTTCATTATTGGAAGTATGTGCCGGATATGACTAGTAAAACTTTTTCATCTTTTGTCGTTCGAATGAGATTTTCACATCGACGTATGTCTGTATAAAATTGAGCAGCTGGATTGAGTTTCAATAGGCTAGTCTGTGTACGATGAATAATTGAATTATTATCATTATTACTATCAAGCCATATTAACAGAAAATCTTCTTTATTTTCGGGCACATCCGATCTATGTAAATCTCGAACAATTTTTTCTTTCATAGTAAATATTGATTGCAATTGATATTATAGTTTTTAATTCAGCTAGAAAACTAGAGAAAAAAGTTTCTTTTTTTTAGAATATACATATTTATAAAAAGAGTATGTTCTCAAAAACAGCTATAGAAGTAAAATGACGATATGAAAATACAATAATTATAATCAATTTTTAATCATCAAAATCGATTAAAACTTCCACCAAAAATAAAAGACTATTTGATATTTTATTGTGGGCCTTTCACATAGCACTTCTCTACGTTCTCTTCTAATACGAGTATACATATTGAGAGATTTTTTCAAAAAAAATTTAACTCAAGAAAACTTTTTTTCTCAGCAAAAATTTTGGAAGAGGGAAAAATGTTATAACTTTTCTTGTTTAATCCAGGATCCGTCCTGGATACAGATAGATTCTGTATCTCTAGAAATCGATAAGCACTATTCATGTTGTTTGCCATTGATGAACGACTTAATGAAGTTGTTTTCTTTTTAATGACTTTGCTCACATTCGAACGTTTTTTGCTCTCCTTCATTTTCATTCGATGATCACTATCGCCTTATATGAAACGTACATTGAATAAATGAAGCTTCACATATTTCTTTCTTTTCCTTTTACGCATAGAAGCGATCGAAGAAGAATAATGATGTGGACTAGAGAAATCAAATACGAGAAAATGTGAATAATTAGAAGAATAAAAGCAAACAAATGAAAATTTTCACAGGAAAAGTATCTATGTGACTACGATCAAATGGAATCTGAACTTATTGTATTCAGTTATTGAGAAGAAAAACAATAGTCATAATAGAGAAGTTTAAAAAATGAAAACATAATTGTCAACGATTTACTCAACAAGAATAATGAGACACAAAACGCTCAAGATAGACATGTCTTGTTTGATGGTCGTTAATATAAGAAACCTTGAACGTCATTCTATGAAATGTTACCAGGAGAGTTAGACAAACTACAAGAGCTCTCAAAAGTATAGTACCTATTTGTTAAGTTGGCTTTGAAGAAGGCTTTTTCTATGCAGCTCTTAACGTCGCTTGGAGAGTGTGACAGTAAAAATGTGGAATGTTTTTACTTGCTTAAAACGGCTTCATTTGACAAAAATGTATCTATGAAAAGAAGTAAAACTATAGCTAGATAACATAAAAATGTACGGAGAATTGTCAGTTGTAATTCACATCTTTCCGACTAATGCAAAACTTCTTGTGCTGTGGTCACTAGAAGAGACATTTTCAGACAACATGAGCAATTCAATCTAAAAAGAATAGATTTTATAAGCATTTCAAAGTTCATCTCTTGACTGAAAACTCTGCTTTCGCATTTGTCAGTTTTTGTATTATTTATTTTATTATGTGTAGACTTACCATAGCCAATTTTGAAACTCCTTATTTCGGCTTACTTCTACCCCCTTTTATCAATGGACTTAAAATAACCGCATCCGAACGTTCAGATTCGGTGAATACCTACAAAACACATATAACAATCTCTAAAACAGCACTATTGATGTTGATACTCTTCAGATTTTTGCTGATAGAATAAAGCACACTTTATCTACCTATAAGTAAATATCATGTGATGCATGCTCCATAGAGGGGTGACGCGACGATTTTTTTTTCTTGTAACTTCATGTCATAAAGCAATCTAAAACAATCCTATGACAACAGCATATGACGCATTGCAACCATTGTGTTGAAATAACGATAATAAAATCTCCTAAAATCAAGCGACGTATCCTTGGAAAAAACCCGATGTTTCGAAATGCATATGAGGCATACACAATTCATGTACATTCGAATGGAATATATACGGTGTGGGTGTGGCTCTAGGTAGGTATGGGTGTCGGTGTGCAAGTGAAAGAAGAAGACCCACACCGACGCCCACCCACACCCCATTTGTTAGAAAGTTTGAACTTTTTATTCTACTGCTGAAATGTTTTTTTGTATTTGTCAGTACATATCAAACAGAGCTCCTTTGCCATTGCTTTAGTAAAACTTGTTGCTTATGATTGAGTGCCAAGTTTACCTTTAAAATAATTGAACAACAAGAAATTCGAAATAATTAGTAAATTTAAGTGAATATGATAAATGATTCATATCTTAAAATTCTTCTTCTTAATATGATTCTATTCGCTAAATTTTAGTAATGAGCATAATTTTGATGATAGGGACGACTTCAGAACTCTACTCCGCTTCATAAAAAGCAAACAAATATATTTCTAAAAATACTTTTAAATTGAGTTATCGTCCTTGAACTGATTCATTTCATTGGATGTTGAATGTTTATAGGAATTTTTAATCATTGTATCCGAATTTGTTATGATGCTGACTTGTTATTTTGTCCTAGTAATCGTTTGGATTTACAATCTCATTTGGTTTGTTCCACTTGATCTGATCAAATTTGGTCTTCAAGCGATGTTCAATCGCAGTTTACATGCCATAAAGCCTTTCGATCAGTTACATCGTCACTTGATTTCAGGTAAAAAATCGATGAATATGGTTGAGCCAATTGTCCAATGTTCNTTAGATGAGTTAGCCTTCGTGTTTCTTTATGTTTCATATACCATTTTGTTGCTCGTGAAATTCTCTGTCGAATGGTATATAATAGTTGGAGTTTTATTTGAATATGATAGTGAAAGTTTTTTACGAAAGTGAGAATAGGTCGATTTTCCTATAGGAAGCCATAGAGAAAAATGACTATTTTTGCAATAACTCAGGAACGGCTCGGCCAATCATTCTCATCTTCGAACTCGACCGAGATATTGTTAAGACTGAACTGTGTAGAAAATTTCATGACAATTGGACTATTCTTTCAAAAGTTATCGTGTAAACGGCCGGACGGCCGGACACGCTGACCGATTCTAGAGTGTACTCACTTTTTGAGTACACAAAAAACATCGATGATCTTTCAGACCTGGAGGACGGAAAGTTTACATATATTATCCTAAATATGAAGAAAATCATTCGTTCATGACGTGACTTCGCAAAATTAAAACATATGTATCTTAGGTTACTCCACATAGTCTGAAAAAATGAGCATTAGAAACTTTTGCTCAGAGGAAATATCAATAGAAAATTAGCGAGAGCAACATGCCACAAAAACAAGATATCAACTTTCACTTGATGCATTTTAATTAAAATAATCTCCAAATTGAGGCAGTATTTTGAAAATTAAATAGCCCACTGATTTATTTTTCGTTAGCAACGTGACGGAATACGAATATACATATAAAACGATGTTCTTATAATCGAATGAGAAGTTCGAAAGCAATTCCAAACACTATAAGTCCTTCTTTAGAATCTCTCAATAATGGTAAGATACAAATTTCTGTCTCGAAATTTGATAGAACCTTTAGAAAATCTGTTGTTTTGGAGTCAGATCTTGCTGAAAATTCACCATAGATATGATTTGTGCTATAAAGTCTATCCTGAAGTTTTGAGATTTATTTCTCGTATGACTGAAAAAAAAACATTTGCTAATTACTTTTTAACTAATGAATTAAAACAACTAGTTAATTATTTAATTAATAGTCAGTTGCAAAAGGCAATGTTTTTATATGTTTTTATACTAAATGAAGTTATTCAGAAAAATAATCCTTGTAGAGAATCAAAGGCGGATATGTTCCACATTTTGCTTGAAATAGTTTATATCTCTAAGCATGATAAGAGAATAATTACATTCAAATAATGAATTTTTGGAGAGTTGAGTGAAAATATTTTTGTCGGATTTTCTGTATGTAAAATATGTGTATGATTATAGACGATCTCAAGCACCATATGAAATTTTAAAACCTGAAGAAGCTCGTTATCAATGGTTAGAAAAAGAATTATTACAATCAGTTAAATCTGAAATACAACAAAGAATGAGACAACAATCAAATACGGTAAAATAATATTTTCATGAAATTAAAACTAAATTAATTATATTCAGTTGTATATAATCTGCATAAACATTTATTTACTATTTAAGTCCATAGAAATGTGTCTAACATATACTAACGAATTCAATGTTAAACAGGATCAGCATGAAAGACATGCAAAATCTATTAAAACTATCACACATATTACTCAATCAATGTTAGTCACATATCAAACTTTGATAGCGTAAGACATTAAACACAGTTGTATATCTTTGTCTTGCATAATATTGAATTCCATTAATGGAATACAATCCTATAAAATCCTTAGTTATCAGTAGCTTTTCTTCTTTATTGTATCGAATGTATAGAGTGTCGTCAGTTACTTGTATTGTTAATGTTTCAATGAGAAATTTGATTCAATTAGAATAAGAAAAAACAAAGTTTTCTAGTCGGTACAGTTGCAACAACAACAAAGTCTCCCAGCACAAGAACAACATGAATTGTTACAACGATCAACTTTATTCAGGGTTCGCCTCTATTCTTTGACAATGAATGTTGTGTTGTTATTTTTATTTTATTCATATATTTCCTTCGTATTATATCATTCAACCTGCATGTTTATATAGCTTGCACTTTGCTATCAGTGGGTCTTGGTTTTTTTTTTTTGAAAGACTATATGACTTTAAAATGATGAATTTGTTCTTTATTCACTTACTAAAGACAATATTTATGCTTTTTTTTCATTTATTCATGCATTTATTTTATATAATGCTTATTATAAATTATTTGTATTGATTGAATATCGTTAAGAAATTCTTTTCCATTTAGACCTCACTTAATCGTGATCGTAATCGAACACTTCAATCAGCATTTAGTGTACCAAATAATAAACACTTACAACTATCGGATAATCTTCAATCGTTAAAAGTTACCCAGTAAGTATTTTTGGTTTGTTTTTATTTAATAAACAGAAAAAACAAAACAAATCATAATACATTGATTAATATTTGTGTATATCTACGATTAGTGGGCGTCGTTATTCTCTTATGTATGCAACTGCACTTGCCTCGTCGTCTGGTTTAGACCGTCGACGACTGTATGGAAAATTTTTATTCTATAGGGCATTGTTTATTGCTTGCTTAACTTATCTAGAATTCATATAAAATCATATTCTACTAATAGATGTTTATTCGAAAATTAATATTAAGGGTCATGGTTATAAGAATAAATACATAAATGAAAGAATCTATGCATGATTTAATTCTTAAAAATCTTTGAAAAGAAAATGATGTATATATCATTTCTTGTTTATATTCAGATCCGATATGGTCACACGTCAATCACAAATAAATCCATTAGCAATTCGTGAAGAAAGTACAGAAAATGAAATATCATCTCCGTCAAGTGTTACTCTGCGGTAAGAAATTTAATCATAATTTTCATAAATCAAATCTTTATGCATTCTTCTTCTAGAGAAAAAAATCCATTTGAGACTATATTCTATAGGTATTATTAAAAATAGTGAATATAATCTATTGATTGGGAATAGAATAACCTTATCCCCCTAACTGCTTTCAATATAAACAAAAACAAAATATTGAATAAAATTTAATAGATTATTGTTTTTTCTCTAAATTTTAGTGTTTCATCACATGAAAATGATGATAATCAATTAAGTTCTTCACCTACAACAAGTAATCCAAATGAAATAACATCAACACCAGCAGTTGATTTAGAATTAAATTTACAAATTCAAATAGCTAGTGGGTCTTGTAATCTTTATACACGTAATGATCTTATTTCTCATACATCATTAACAACGAATTTAACTAAACAACAAAAACAAACAGCACTTGTTTTAATTCAAACAATAAATAAAATTGAATATCAAGTATCACAATTTTCTTTACCGGGTGTTGATGTCGACGCACATTATAATACAAAACATCATAAAAAAACAAATAATTCATTAAATAAACGAGCTAGTTTTTATTGTCGTGCTATGATACAATCACCAACAACACCAATTATGGTTCATCCAATATTACTTGATTTTATCGAACAAACACTTGAATATGTTAAATTACCACATGAACAACAAAGACGAACAAATATACGAGAAGACCAGACACAAGATCAAAATTCAGATGACGATCATTTAAATAACATGTGAGTCAAATGAATGATAAAAAATTCAAAGTTTTCATGTATAAGAAAAATTCAATAATCTATTTCAGATGACGAAATGTTTTCATTAACTAAAAGATAACGCTAGTTGTTGCGACTCGCTGGACTCTCGATTGAATGCTCAATTCTTTCTATATAACATAGCACTATGAAAGCCCCATCAATAATAATAGCAAATGTATGCATAAGGACTGGATATACAACATATAACATATAAAAAAAAATCTTTTGCGATGTTACGTCACTCACGAATGATTTGATCCATGTACGATCTTCTATGAGATCGCCAATAGTTTTTGCTATTGTTAAATATTCACTGTAGTTTCACTAATATGTACATAATTTTGGTATTGATTAGAGAGATTTGTATCAATTACATTCATGAGCGTAAGAATCAAGATACATTTTTATAATATTCGGCATAGTTCTTACATACAGAATGTTCATTAAGTTTTCATCCGTATGAAAAGTATTACTTATTTTTTTTTACATGGTTCATATATGTGAAAGTTAAATTAAAATTCAAAATTATCTATGAAATGTTGCAATGCATGTATTCTTGTAACAATAAGATTAGAAAGGTTCGAGTTCTGGTATTTGACATGTACAGATATCAACTATCTACATTGATCTTTATATACTATTTCCATACTGTTTTATGACAACTGATAAAAGTCCGCAAGATCATTAACAAAATGTCAGTGAACTTTCATCCTAGACTTCATAAATAAAAGTCTTCCATATGTTATTTAAGACGATTTTTATGATTGAATTGAGTAACTCGTTTTGTTTTTAAAATAGGTTTTTAATCGAAAATCAAACATCACCATCTTCATTGCCCATTGACATTGTTGTTAGTATATTTATTCAACCATGTATTCTTCTATTTACATGTTTACCAACACATCCAATGGAATGTGAACTTCGTTTACCTGCTGTTGATGTTGTTTTTTCATCAAAACGTACATTATCAAATAATATATCATCATTAAAAGATGAAAATTTATCTGAAGATATTCTAGAAAATTCTCTTGTTGGTTTAAATTTTTCATTATATATGAAAGATTTTAAATTAAATGTTTATCATCCATTTTCTGGTGTACCTAAAATACAATTAATTGAAGATATTCATTCTGGACAATTACAAACACGTAATGCATTAGCTGTTAGTGTACAATCTGTTTCAATAAATATTTCTCGTACACGTTATATATTAATTGATCATAATAATGAATATTTAAATAATATACAATTATCTATTATTGCCCAAATATCAAAAGCACAATTTGAATATGATATAAGACGTTTTTCAGAAGTTTTAACATTTCCTAAAATATGGTATAATCGTTCATTAGCTCGTCGCCTTTTCTTAGGAGATGAAAATTTATCAACAAGAATTCCATCATCAAATAAAATAACAGAAACAATAACATCAACAACAACAAATAAAATATTACGTAAACAAGCACGTGTTATTTTAGCTGTACAATTAAAAGAATTACATGTATCAATGCGTATGTCAAATGTAATGGGAAAAGTTGAATGGAATACAAAAGATGTTTATTCAACAGGAAGTTTAACATTAACAAGTGAAGGAAAACGAACATTTTCTCTTTCGATAGGTTTACAAAATTCTATATTTCAAGCTGAACAAGGTATTATTGGAGGTATTATAAAATTGAAAAATCTTCGAACAACAGGTAATAATCAATTCAAATTAATTATATTTTTTAGATAAGGCTCTCGACCTCTCTTCTTGTTTGACCATGTCGTATTGTTGAAGAGATTAAAATCAATCAGATTGAAATTTTTATCACAGATAGAGAGCCAGAAATAAGGAAACACATGTTCGAAGAAAAAAATTTTCAAGAGAACTTTCTGCAGAAATTTGGTGGCCTATAGGACCACATCCTGATACATTAAGATATGCATCAAATTTTATCCGATGTGACTAAAAACTGTTTTGAAGATGCCTCAGCCTATATCCCAGAGATATTTATATGAGAGAAATATATAAAAGTTCGGAGCCACAAGCGGGGTGTTGATTTTGAGAACCCTATAAATCTGCACCGGGAAGTCAAAAACGAAAACGGCCGATTTTATCTCTGAAGAATACTTCAAGTGTCTGTAGTTAGAAATTTCACTCTGATCGAACGAAGTTAGGAGGAAGTCGTAAGTAGTCAGAAATGTGAAAACTGGTGTTTTGCGTTACGCTAAGTAATAAAAAAGAATTTCTTAAATTCAGTAACTTTGAAACAGTAAACTATTTAGAGTCAAATGATGTCTCGAATTGCAAATAGCATTTGAGACTATCATACCCTATGCCTAGCTCAAAATTGAGTTTTTAGTCAAAGAAGAGTGGCAATATCCTTAAGTCGTATACTGCAGATAAAGAAATTAAGTCTGTTATTGACTTTGATTGAACTATGTACTGTTGTTTGTTTTTAAATAGATACATCAAGTTAGCATGTTTATTACGTCGGAAAATCTGGATGGATTAGATAGTCAAATTATGGAATTTTCATCTGAGATTTTATCTTTGTAGAGGTCTTACGATCATGATAGGAAATTAATGAAAGCTCAATATTTCGAGAAAGGAGTATTTATTTTGGTTGCTACCAGAATGATAATACTTCTATGGAAGCGAAATTTCAGATCGGCATTCTCTTGTTTAATACTTTGATAAATGTCTGGTTGTACATAAGTTTGTGTCATTGTCGACTTCTTGCTAATCTCATTGAGTTCTATTTATGATAGAAGTGTTATTACAAGCGCTTTGAATCACTCGAGAGCGATTTCCTCATAAGCTGAATTCTTTATACGTATGTTTTGGATTTAATACATGTCTAAAAATTTTGTCATTCTATTTTTTTTGGTAATAAAAAACGAGGAAAGAAATCGATTGGATGATTCTTTTATATTTCGTCTGACGAGGGAAGTTTCTAAACAGATAAATCACTTTTAGGTCTAGACTACTTTCATTCTGTAGAACCGAATGAGCTACGAATACTTTGAAAATAGTTCAGATCCGTAGCTTATTGCTGCCAAAATCTTGCACTTTTACAGTATTCTTTTAATGAGTCCCCCTCAGGAACATCAGGCGAATTGATTTTCGAATCCCTACTTAGAAGTATACCTTAATGGGATTAGTTTATTGTACATGTTTCAGATCTTATGATTTGCTTTTATCCTGAAACAAGAACATCGAATCTACCACTACTACTGAGCGATATAAACCACATACTTTTGCCATAGCTTATCTTAAGATAGGATCAACAGCAAAATTTGAAACATTTACAAGAAACTATTCTCACTAAGAATTATCTTTGTGCAAAATTTGAAGTCGAAAATTGAAAATGAGTTTTACTGATGTTCCTGAAAGAAGATTCATTTAAAAACAACTATAAAGGACTAATATCTCAGTAGCAATAAACTAAGAATCTGATCTATTATCAAGATATTCATAGCTTGTTTGAATCAAAATAACGCATGTAGTCTCGACTCAAAGGTGGTTTTCATTCAGTTGTAAGACTTCTATCATTAGTTAAATATTAATAGGATAAGAAATATTTGCCATTTTATTGAATGTCATAACTATGTTAACCGACATCATTGTTCATTGTTTCTAAATTGAATTCGATATAAAAATAAAATATATATTTGTTTCAGGTATTATTCATCAAGAATTTCGTGATCGAACAGATCTTGTTGATGCGTCTCATGCCATTAATATTCTTACTGATGCAATTGAAATTCGTCTTGATTATATGGGTTCTCCAACATTAATGGGTCGTATATGTCATATATTACTTCGATTAAATGATGATCGTCATACGACAACAGTAGATAAAAGTACGATACCTCCATCAACATTAGTTTTACTTAATCTTAGTTGGTCACAATTACATTTAATGATAACACGTTCCACAACACCCGATATAATTAAAATGACTATGAAATTAATTGAATTTGTTAATGCACAAATAGCTAGTTCAAAAAAATTATTAGCATCAATTCAATATGATTTTCGTGATGATACGAAAAAGAAAAAGTCTGAAATAAATATTCAGACAAAAAAATCTTCTAATTTACAATCAAAATATAATATAGATATTATTAAAAAACATATTGGAATGAATGGCGGAGAAATTATGTTACAAGGTCATAATTTAACTTTAGTTATTTTTCATGGACTAAATTTTAAATCACGCCAATGGGCTTTATTTTCACTTAATGAACCACAAATCGTTTTTGTTACCGATCATGGAGAAGAAGGCGATAGTATGTTATTTATTTCATATGATAATCAATTGATATTTTATTTTTTTCATTTTAGTTAATCAAAAATTATTTTTTTATTTGGATCATCAAAGTCAAACAACACATTCAAGCTTAAGGTCTCGTACAAATATGGCTTCAATATCTAAGGTAACACGAAATAGTACTGAAGCACCATCACATTTAACTATAAATGAATGGTTTAATTATGCAAGTTCAGCAATATCAGCTGTTGGTAAGTTATGAAAAAGAATTCTTTTCATAATATATATATATATATATAATTTATATATTTAAGGTTTGCGTGATTTTCCAATAATAGATGAGTCTGAAATACTACTAGAAAATAGTCAACTACGTCCAAGACAATATGAACAAAGTGCTGAATCAATATTTATTCTTCCGGCTCTTGAATTACGTTTTCAATCACGACAATTACAAGGTAAAAAAAAGAAATTTCTGATTGAAATAATTAATTCAAATTTTTCTTATTTTAAGGACAAGTAAATTGCAGTTTCGAAACTGAATTTTATGAACATATTATGTTTACATTTAATGCTGAACACTTTTACTTTCTACATGATCTTATATCTTCATATATCAAAGAAAAAGAACGAAGTAAATCAACCGTGAAAATCTAGTTTAAAATGAGAGAAGTCAATCACTAACAAGATTAGTTATCTACAGAAATATGATTTCTGGTAGAATTAGACTTAAAACACTTATTTATGCTTTGTTCAAACCGATTGAAATAGTTAAAGGCTGTTGAAGATGACCAGCTATTTTTATCTATCAATTCGAAGATCGACCAGAATAGTATAGCGCTTTTCAACCGCTTCACAATGTTATAAGAGTATCAAGGAAAAAATACTGTACACACACAAAGAAATTTCAAGGAGACTACTTTCGAAACATGATTTTATGATTTTTTTCGCCTGATATTTAGTAGATTTCGATTGGAAAAATATGATTTAGATAAAAATTGAAAGGATATTCTGAATCAGCATCCCAAACTGAGTGAACCTACAGGTATTTCAAAAAATTTCCCAACCTTTTCTTTTTCGTCGGAAACTTTGCTCTGGTCCTCCTTCTCAGGGTTGGGTCAAAAAATGAATTTCATTTAAACGTCATTATGTCAGTGACAGTCAACTTCTAAGGTGATAGAACCTTAGTAGAAGTCTAAATAACAGATAAATAAACAATAAAAACAACCGAGTTTTCATGAAATTCATTTTTTTGATCTAATACTTTGAGGATGAATTATGCGACGAAAACAAATTGTTGCGAAAATTTTTGAAATACATGCAAGTCTACTCAGTTTTGCATGCTGATTCAGAATATTACACTAGTTTTTATCTAAATCATAATTTTCTTATCAAAATCTTGCCTCGAGAACAGTGTTCTTAGGATTTGCTTGAGTTGTCTATGTGTTTTAATACTATTTTAAGACATTTGAAAAGTACTGATTATCATTAACAGTTTGATTCGATGTACATGTAATGGTCATTGACTATTTCAATCGACCGGTGCACAGCTATTTGACTAATTCTACCAGAGGTCACTTTCGGACAGTTTGTCTGTTAAAGTGTAACATATAGAAGAAATCATATTTCTCGATGCCACCATTTTCACCAGTTATCGAGTCCACTCATTTTTATGTTTCTTTTTCGCTTTAACAGTTGCAACAAATGATAGATTTCGACAACGATCAATGGGATCATCATTTACTTCAACTGATAGTCAAACATTACCGCCATTAGATGATGCACGCAGTGATGATATACGTCGTTTTATTTGTCCAGATACTAAATGGAAATTACAACCAGCAATTAAACTTCTTACGGCATATGGAAATGAAGTTGAACCATTTGGTGCTGATTATGTTTTACAAAAATTAGGTTTTCGTCATGCACGTTTAACTATTCCAAAATGGGTACAACGTGGAATTATGGATCCATGTGAACAATCAATGACTATTGTACAACTGATTCTTATTTATCTTTTACCTGAACGATTTAAAGAAATGTGCATGAAATAATGATAATTAACTTATTTTATTCAAACTTATTAAAGCATTTCTATGCGTTTTTCTTTTTGCTGTTCTTGTTTTCTAGTCGATTATTTTTCATTGCCTACACATTTAGTTTGGTTATTGAAGACGGTTTATCATTTTTGTATAGCATTCAAGAGATTTTTATATTTTCTTTTTTACTTCATTAATAATTATTTTTATATTTTATATGAGAAATATTCATATGTATCTCTCTCTATATATATATATATCAGGCGCGTGCTCATCTTTTTTTTTATCCTGTGTGATAAGAAATGAATAAAGTGCTCATTCTAATTAATACATATTGGATAAAATGCATAGTATAGTTCTGAATAATTTATTTGTTGTTTTAATGAAATATGAACAATTTCTTTAAATAGATTTCAATGAAGTATTTTATGCTATTAATGAATGCATTAAATAATTGTGTATCAAAGCTTCAAAATCAAAAAAAAATTGAAATCGAAATATACTCGTATTTTATGAAACAAGGATTTAGAAATGTATGTGGAAACATAAGGGTACTAATTGAGACCTACTCTAACAGATATTAAATCTTACTGATTATGAACTATATCAATAAACTACACTGACGGACATCTACCTTTGACAACTAAACGAAAATTGATGCAATGAATCGTTTGGTTCAATAAAAGATAGAAAGAAAACTGAAAAATAACCCAAACTAATTAAGTTTGTTTTTTTTTGATTGACTGTAGCACGTAGTCTAACAAACATTGCCGAAGTTCCTTTTTTGACAATCTATAATGTCATTCTCCTGTTTCAATTTTCTACTTAAAAAAAAATGTTGTATCTCGCGGTTTAGTATGTAAGAGCATTTTTCTTCATTTAGGCGCTAACAGACATAACTGTGGAAACTTCATAGACCGTATGTTAATAAAATCTCGTTATCAGACATGTTCACTGCGCGTTCAAAACGAAGCGAAGACTGTCTGCCATCATCTAGCGTCTTCTGGGTCGGCGGCGCAACCGCTTTGCGCTCTCATTCGGCAAGCATGAAACGGCCGTTTCTTCATATTTATTGCTCTATAATATTTCTTAAAAAGCAGTACTTCATTTTTGAACATTTATCTAACAACAGCAACATAATGTTGAAAATATCACGAAAGAATAGTTAATAAGGCGAAATATAATCGGACACATCTATACTTATTAGCCGTACGTTTGCTTGGTTCACTAAATTTTGAGTTAGGTCGCTATGTTATTCAGATTGATTATGATTTAATTTATAAATTTAGTAAATCTTTTCAATATTTGATGTACAATCTTTTCAAAAATCTCTAGCAATAAAGTTTAATAGTTAGGCATGATCAAGGCACAACCATCCAAAAATGAGTCATACTTGTTGTTAGGGCGCTAGTGTTGCAGCACATCTCTACTCGTTATAATATATGAACTACTACCTTAGGAAGGCTAACATAAAAGAATGATAAAAAAATGTGTTACAAAATAAATCGAATAAAGTAATTTCTCTGTGATTAGCAACAGCAGCTATATTCCTCTTTCATATTTTAATTCCATAGGGATTGTACTACCAGCTTTTTTTTTTTTGAATATGTATTAAATTAAAACGAACTTGAATCTGAAATATAGACATTATGAGAATAAAGATATGATTGATAGGCTCCTGAATGAACATTTGTACGACTTGACAAGTCATTTTTAATATAGAAAGAATAAGAAATGAATTATTTTGTAAATATTTGTCGTTTCAAAATAACGTCAGTTGGAATTATTTATTTAATATAAATTTAATAAAACAAAAATTGGATTTTTTTCATATGGGAATTCAATAATTAGATATTCTAAATCAAATAATTATGATTATTTTACAGGAAATTTCAATAATATAAATGACACAATAAGTAACAGAAAAATCTTATCGTTTTGTTTATATGAGGTTTTTATTTTATACTTCAAAATTCTTCATGAATTATAAAAAAAGAATGTCACAAAATCTATCTTTCGTTAGATGTCTCTGTAGATCAAGTTCATAACACGATTGAGAATATCTATCATGGTCAAATACTAGGAGGAAAATATAAAATGGCGTCTAACAACCAATAAATCATTTTCAAGAGAAGAAGAAAAAAACGTGATCGAATCGAAGGATATAGTTCTCAGTTTTTTTTCGTTGTCAAATATTTCCACTGAATATTTCAGTTTTGATTATGCCGTTCTCATTTACAAGTGATGGACGTTCATTAACTAGTTTATTTAATTCACCGGAACAAAGTAAAGAAAAAAAACGACAAATTCTCTTTCTTTTTATAGTTTAATTTTAAATAATTCTTTAGATTCGGAAAGTTTACTTATTGAAAAGCAAAATTTATTATGTATATTTAAATTAGTTATAAAAGATTTATTAAATTCGAGTTTACGACATGAACGTCTACTTGAAAAAGAGTATTTTCCATTGAAGCATTTTTTTATTGTTTTCGAACAAATTCTATTACATGGTTATACAGGTAAAAAATCATTTCCAATAACATCATCATCAAATCGTAAAGATCTTTGGCCACTTATTGAACTTATTGCACGTAAATCAACTGATGCTAATGTTATTGAAATTTCATTATCATCGAAAGAAATGACTAATATTCGAACATCATTAGGACGTGTTCGAGCATGGTTACGTCTTGCATTAATGCAAAAGCGTTTAGCTGATTATTTTAAAATTCTTGTTGAACACAAACAAGAATTAAAAGAATTCTATGATAATGAAGCATTATTATTATCAGATGAAATATCAATTATAACCGGTTTACTTGTTGGTCTTAATGTCTTAGATTTAAATTTTTGTTTAAAAGAAGCTACACTTGATTATCCTAGTGAAACAACAATTCATTATAGTTTATATTTACGTGAAAGACGTATACCATCACAATTAGCATCAAATAATATTCATCCACCTGGTTCACTTGAAGATCATATTGATGAATTAGATGATTATTCATCATTATCATCATCACCAATAATAGTACGAACAAGTACACAAAATTCTGATTCAGTTATTTTATCAAATTCAAATGACATTATGACATTTGATGATCAACGGATTTCAAATATACTGGATCAAAAAAATTATATTGAAGAACTTCATCGAAATTTACAGTAAATCGAAATAATAAAAAACTAATGAGGGAACATACTCAATTGTCGGACGATTTTCAATCTCATATTTTTATTATGAGTAGGACTTCTGAAAGAATTTCTCCAAGCGTCAATTCGATTTTCGACTGAGACAATGTTTATTTGATGAGTACTAGTGAGTAATAGAAAACTCTACAATAGTTTGATTTTTCAGGCTTTTGTTCTTGAGCTATTGAAATTTCATCAGATTTTTATAGAAAAAGCTATGGTACCCCGCAAGTGACGCGAAAAAAATGACTTTCGAGTTTTGACTTCAACCTTTACATGAACAAAGTTTTCAATGAAATTAGTTCATTGAACAAATCGTTACTTTTCTAGTATCTCCTATCCTGAGATATGGACTATTAGAAAGTCTATCATATGTAAAAGCAAATTGTGTTCATATATGTATATCTTCAGAAAGGAAATACTAGTTGCACAATCAACTAATCTCATGAAGAGCTGTGTTCATGCAAATTTTAAAGTCAAATGTCAATTTTTCACATGGCCTGAGAGGAACTACAGCTTTTTGTTGAAAAGTTCATTTCGAGAACGAAGACGCGAGAAATGATTTGATACCTGGAGATGTTCCTTCGTCAGTAAAGTTAAAAAGAATTTTATAAATGGATTCAGGCTAAGAGGAAAATCAAAAAAATATCATACTCCAAGGGCATGTCAATGTAAGCTTGACAACTTTTTAACTATTTCCAGTTTATTACCGACATGTGTCACGAGCATATGAGTTTGAGCTCATTTTTATATAACTCTATCTGGTAATAAAACTCAAATACTTGAGCGTACCTCAAGATTTATAAGCGAAGTAAACATGCTCATGACCTACATTGGTAATAGACTTGAACTAGCTAAAAAGTTCTAAAGTTTGCTGTGACATATCCTTGGAGTACAGCAAAGAATGAAATCTTTGCTTTTCTCCTCCCAATTCAAATCATTACATTACTTAGTCAGACTGATGACCGTTTTAGTAGCTTTTTGTCTTCTGAATTGATCAGCTATGAGGTTTTCTAGAATTATGTTTTCATACATACTCGATATGTCAAGAAGAATTCAATCATTCTGCGCTAGAAATTTTTAGGACATTCTGATGGCGATGAAATCTCTCTACAGACAAAATTTCAAATGAAAATCTCGTAATACACGGGCCTGAAATCATGATTTTCTTGATTTCATTGAGTCATACTCATAGCGTAAACATAAAGTTGAAAAGCGTCCGACAGTTGAACATACTTCTTTATAAGCTTTAAAATTATTTTCTTTGCTTTGATTATAGAAAAAAAGTTGTAAGCTTACAAAAACGTTTACAAACACTTGAACACACAAATAAATCTTTACTAGAAGATGCAACAATACAAAAGATACGAATTGGACAATTGGAAGAAGATTTGAAAAAAGCAAAAGCAGAAAAAGAACAGATACAATCATCTTATCAATCCAAAATTGAAGTAAATTATTTTAACATATTTAGTAACAAAAAAAAAGAATTGAGACAATTTCAGCTACTCATTAACTCTTCTGGAGTTTGAGATTATATGAAAACAGTTTAGATTATTTTTATTTAAATTTTTCCGAAATTCAGTTTTCATAACCAACGGTTTATGACTAAAACTTTTTTTTGTTTAAATTTGATACTCGAGCCATGTTCTAATTACTACAGTGGCAGATTAGCAATTCGATTCGAGTTTAAAGATTTGTTTGTTGAATTAAGGATAAAAACGAAGAGCTCTATGAACAAAAGTGTGATCTAGTTTTCAAACATCTTTTCAAAAATAATCGGATTCTTTATTAAAAATCAATCCTTTATTTAATCTTAGAAA